TCTGGTTAATGGTAGCAATCCGGGATCTCATTATCGGCCGTTTGTCTCTTGACCCCAATTTTGCTAAGAGCAGTTGCAAAGAGGCCCCCGGGGAAGCAATTTTTGGATTGGTGGATGAAGAGGTGCAGTTGGATTTTGTGGGGCTGCCCCGCTGTGTGCAGGGCGTTGCGCTTGTAACATCCTGTCCGTCTGTACAATCTTCACACCTGAAGACGGCAAAGAAACCGGTGGGAGATACATCCCTTTTTTATCAGCTCCGTCGCTTTTAGTAAAGGTTCGTCCAATCGTCCAGTGTCAGTAAAGGGCGTGCCAATTAGTCTCTTATTCCAAATGGCAGCATATTTATTGTTCGCCACGAGAGAAACATGCTTTGAAGCCTGCATACTTGAGATTAAAGCGCTTTCAGCCGCATTGGGAGGCGTGAGGTGCCCACACCGGGCAGGCTGTATTGACCTATTGGTGCCTTTCATAGCTTTCTTTGCAAAGGTGCTTTGAAGCCGAAGGAGTAGCCGCCAATGCCAGTCCTTCTGGCCGCGTGTGAAGGCAGCAGCCTTCCCCATTCCCCTTCATTAACTCAGCTCCTTTCGCCCGGAGCTGTCCTTTGGCTTCACCCGACGAGCCGTCGCCAACCTTTCCGGTCTGACCTTTCAGCACCGAGACGACGCTGAACAGCTCCACAGCGTTTCCTGCAGGTATTCGCACCTTCCTTTTCACACCACCTGTGTGCTCTTCCTCAGCCTTCCTAGGTTATTAAGCGGCTGATGTTTTGACAGCCAGGTGCTGGAAGGAGCCCCAGAATCTGGACATGGCCTGTGGGTATCTCCACTAGCCCTTCTGAAAGGCGGCTCTTCTCAGGTGGGGCAGGTGAAGGCGACCGACTCTTTCGCCAGCCTCCCTTACACGCATTCATGGCACCTCCTGACCGGCTTCGTCCCCTGAGGGGGAGCCAACAGGAGAAGCATTTCAGGATGGTTGAGATAGCAAGCCTGGACGGGCTTAGCTCAATAATTCATCGGGCATCTGCGAGAGGAGGGCGTTTAGATCAGAAAGGGCCTTCACGGAGTCTGGCAGCTACGGCGAGGCCGCTGTTGCTGTCCTAGTTCCATGGACCCTGACACGGGATGCTGATTTCCCGTGCTTGGAAGTAAAGCTACCTGGGAGTGTCCACAGGGCTGGGCCTGCCGCGAAGTGAGCCGAGACGGCAGCCTCAGGCGGAGACGTTGGAGGCAGATCTGGCCCAGATCTTGTGCTCCGTTTATCATTATTTCAATAATTTCTCACATTGGTATGCCACCTCTCGCCAGAGGCTCGCTGGGTGGCTCACTGCATAATATAGATATAAATAACAATAAATGACAACAAGCAAACCATAAAACACAGTAGAATGAAAATACAATATGAATACAACCATATAAATGGGAACAGGAGCAAAATAAACACAGTGTAGCCAGTGATGACAACCGATACAGCAACAAATCAATTCTCCCATTTAAAAACAGATACTAGATTTAAAAAGCCTTAACTTGGTGCGGAAAGCAAGACAAAGTGGGTGCCAGGCGCACCTCCTTTGGAAGAGAATTCCGAAGGTGAGGTGCAGTGACTGGGAAGGCCCTTTCCCCTTTTCTCGGAGCTTCGGTGCCACTTCTTCCAGGGGATATCGAATGGCTTCCTTTCCTCGGGCGTGCTCTCCATGTGACCTTTCTGTTGACCCCCTTGGAACGTGAGATTTCGGGATCGTTGTGCTAGAGGCCTGTGCCGTCCCCCAGTTGGAGTAGTGGGCAAGGCCAGGGGAAAGCTGGTTGGCCCCCTTTTCCAAGCCTACCCCTCAGTTCCTGCTACGAGCAAAATGGGTCAAATTGGGAAAGAACACATCAAGCACGTCCAAAAACAATATAAACACATCAGAACATCATATAAAGAGTATACAGAGAGAAGCTCTCCGGATGGCAGTCCGTGTAGCTTTTTCTTCATTTTCCGGCATCAGTATTTGCCTTTGCAGTTCCAAAGTTTTCTTCAGCTTGGCTGACCTTGCAGGGATGCAAGTGATGGCGCCAAAGAGTTTCCCGGGGATCTTTCTGCTTGCTTTTTTCCGCTTGACGGTCGCCTCTTATTTGGCCTCACCTGGCGCTCCCTGCCTGTTAAGTCTCACTGATATAATGGAAAGTACATCAAATAGTTCATCGCCCAACTAATCACGAGATGTTCCTCACGCAGCGAAGAATCTCCCGTCTTTGCAAAGATGCCGCTGACATTTCCATTCCCCACCCTGAACGTGCCATGTAGCGACAGAAAAGACCGGAAGACTTTTCTTGGCAAAGGCCAGGTACTTGAAGGGCTGTCACACAGGTGGAGTTGTTAGAAAAAGGAAGTCAGGAAGGGAGTCAGACCGTGTGCTACAAGCTTTTCAACAGTGGAGCAGACGGCCTCGGGAGGAAATGGACTCTCCTTGCTTAGAAGATTCTGTGCGGAGGCTGAATAGCCCCTTATTGGCTGCTCTACCCACGGACTTGCTGTATTTATTTATTTGATTTATATCCCGCTTTTTTCTTGCGAACTCAAAGCGGCTTACAGTTCTCCTCCTCCTCCGTCAGACGAAAGGGCCCTCTTTTCCAGCACTCTGTACACGTGGTGGCAAACCAGCTGCCGATGGAGAGGGTACGATTGTTCTTGGGGAAATGGGAAAACCTCACTGTGAGGAGTGAAATGGGGATGGGGGTGTCCCAAATTCCTGCCACGGAGCAGTGGCCCTCAGGCCCCATCCTCCCCGGCCCTGCTTGTTGCTCTTCCCACCGTAGGGAACAAATGGGGCAGTTTCTCCTCCCACCTGTCGTGAGCTGGGCGTCCCTTCCCAAACGAGGCAAGCAGTTCAGTAGTTATGAAAAGAATTGTTTGTTTGTTTATTTATTTAAAACATTTCTATGCCGCCCCATTCGCCGAAGCCTCGGGGCGGCTCACAACATAAAATTAAAATATAATACATTCAAAATATAAAACAAATTAACAATATAAAATAAGTCGCCTCCAAGGTATTCACAGACTCCGAAACGCGCACTCCAGGTGGAAAGTTGACCCCTCGCTCTGCCCCGTTCATCCAGAGCTCTGCTTATGAGCCCTTCGGGGCCAGTCTGTGGAGGGGGGCACGCTAGGGAAGCGGGCGTGCCGACGCTCTTCCCACTGAGCCCCTCGTTGGTCCAGCTAGTGAGTGTGTCCATGAGACCTCCCGTCCACGTCTCCTGGGGGGCCAAGTTCTCCTCCCCAGTCTCTTCTCTGCCGGCTTCTTTCCCATCATCAGGAGTGGGAGGGGGCTCAGTGGTTGTCCCTGAAGTGCTTTGATCCAGGGCTGGCTCACCGGGAGGGTTTGGGCCTCCCTAGTCTCAACAGCTCCCATATCAGAGTGAGACCTCTGAGCCACGGCCGGGTCAGCTCTCCCCTCCCCTCCTCCCAGTCTGAGCCGCCATTCCCACCGGAGCCCTCCATCTCTCGTGCGCGCCTGGGAATCTCATCCGAGCACTCGCACACGACACCACCTCCCATCCTGATACAGACTGATGCAGCCAAGCGGTTCTGTTTCCTGTTTTTGGGGTGGGGGGGTGGGAATCCTAAAGCGCTGATGCTGATGCTCAGAGGGTGACCTTAAGAGGATGGAAGGGCCACGCCTGGGTTGGAGTAGAGTCTTTCCAACCCAGCATTTCTCTGAGCTTGGCTTCCTTCCTTGCGCCGTCCTTTTCCTTGCAATTCAAACTCGTGTGCCTTCCGTGCATTGCATAATAAAACGTTTCCATGCCCACCGTCCCTCCACCCCAGACTCCGGGGCGAGCTGGTCTTTGAGCTTTGATGGAAGAAATCAGTGTGCTCGCAAGCCGCCGTTTCTCATTTCTGCAGTCAGCTTTTGTTTTTCCGTCCTCTCCAAACCCACCACTCCAGGCCGTTTCCAGATGATAGGATGTCTCGCAATGGAGCATATGCGCCACGCACCCACAGTGCGAGCACGCACCTGCTCTGTTGACATTTGTGTGCTTTCGAGGTGTCTCAAGCCAGAGCGGTCTTTAAAATTGTTCCTGCAGAGGTTGTGCGGTTGAGGAAGCACTTTGGTGCGACGCCGTTCTGTGCCACGGAATAGTTCTGTGCTTTGTTTTTCAATTGGAGTGTTAGTGCCGGCACAGTCCTTCATTCATGTGCCCCGTGGTGTCAGTGGCGCTCCAGGCTTGGTTTTGGACCTGCTGTTCTGTGCAAACATTACACAGGTACGCAATCACATGTGCTGTGTTTGTGCTCTTCGGCTTCGCATCCAGCATCTGTGTTGTGGAGTCACGAGGACCACCGTGCGCCCAGGGTACCGGCTGTCCTGCCTATTCTGTGTACAAACAGGGGTGTCTTAATCCCTCAGGTATAAACACCACTAACAAAATGTTACACAGGCCTGGATTTTTAAGAATCCTAAAGGATTCCTTTGTGTGCCCATGTCGCTGCACTGGGAATCTATTAAAACCGAACTCTGCGCTTGGTAAGATGCCATCAAAATGCTGTTTTGACGTGGCCCACGCTATATTTGCACAAATCCATATATTTGCACTGAAGGCTTGTGCTAGCGTTCAATGCAGTTCTTGTTTTCAGAGTAACACGCTCCTGCGTTTCCATCTTGAACCACCCTCCAAAGTGTCTTGAAGAAGCTATTTCGGGGCAGGGTTTCCCCTCGCCCTTCGTTTCTTATTCGCACTGGGAGAGAGGCTGCATCATGCATAATTTTTCCTTTATGTGCGACGTGCCTTTCCAGCTAAAGACTTCATTTAAAGCAGCCACATTCCCTGTTTCAATATTTTTGCTCAATTACGATTGTCAACACTGGTGTGAGAGGTGCAGAAGCAGAAAAGAGCAGTGGGGAAACTGCCGCACCGGTCGGGGAGAAAGAATGAAATGCCAACTTCCATGCCACCTTGAACGGGCAGCCTGCCTGCGCAGGAAGCTAATCCGTTTTGTCTCCTTCCTCCCTGTGTCCGCAGGCACGTGATGGAATGCGGGCCATCCTGGAGTCCTACGACAGCGAGCTGAACCCGTCCGAGCATTCGCCGCAGCTCAGCTTCCGCGTGCGGGAGGCGGAGGAAATGGTGCAGAAAGTCGAGGCACACTGTAGTGAGATGGAGGTAATGCCGAGGCGCCCCGTGCAGTGGGATGCTAATCGCTGAGAGAGAGAGAGAGAGAGAGAGAGAGAGAGAGAGAGAGAGAGAGAGAGAGGGCGCTGTTGGCTAGAAGAGATGCAGCTTGCTTCCGCCTCCCCAACTTACCTTGGTGAATTGGAATTTGGGGTTGTTCCTTGGTGGAGTGGCACCTGCCGAGCGGCCCTAGTTCTTGACCCCTTCCCGAGACGTCCCGTCTTGATATTTAAGGCAGGGGGGGAACGTGGGGGAAGAACCAGGTCTCGGGGAAGCCGCAAGAGCTGGGGCACCGGACTTGGCAGGACTGGGGTTCAGTCTTAGCAGAGCGCTGAACTTCAGCAGGCTGCACCCTTGTAAACAGGAAGCACGGTGCCCCAACCGTTCGGGGCGGATGCCACACTTGGCTGTCTGGGCCCTTCACCCTGGCAGCCGTGTTCCAGCGGCCCCCGTGTGCCAGAGGGCAGGCGTGCACTGGGGAGGGGGGAACGAAGGCAGGCGCTGGCCTCGAGAGACCCTTCCTCTGATCCGAGGGGGCTGAGCGCACTGAGAGTGGAAAACGCAGCACAGCCTTAAAGGTGCAATAGAGACAATTTAGTGGAAATCTGCCTGGAGCAGACTGGGCAGAGGAGCAGGAGAGGGGCTGAGAAGCACCCATTTGTCCGTCATGTCATCGGCCCTCCTCTTTTATGTGTGGTTATGACAAGAAAAAGGATGTCTTGTGAATTCAAGCAGAGCGGTGCAAGTTTTCCCCAGCCTCTGCAGGGGAGGGCTGCTTGCAGCTTCCTTGAGCTTTGCAGCTTGCCCTTTTAATTAACGTTACATAGTTGGGCCCTGCAATGCATATCTGTATTTTTAGTTCTCCCACTGCTTCTTATCGGGCTGCTTTAAATGCCTCTATTCACCTGGTCTCAATAAGGAGCTTCCATTGTGGCCCTCCAAGGCATTTTGCTTAAAGGGGGAAAGAGATCTTTTTCTGGCTTGTTTTGTTACTAGCCTCTCCACTTCCTCCAAAGAAAGAATGTGGGCAAAGCTCTTTATTTTCTAAAAGTATGTGATTGAGTCATGCAGATTCTCTTGCTAAACAGAGCAATGCCAGATGATAATGGCCTTCTCCTGGTGGCTGGCACAATGAGAGAGAGAGACAGACAGACAGATTTTGTCCCCAGAATCCAGCAGCCAGGACCTCAAATTTTCCTATGGAGAGTGTGCTACAGAACAGATAGCAGAAGCACCATGGGAACGATTTCTCAGTCGTCTCCATTCACTCATTCGAATCATACCCAACTCATTAAAGCCCTTTGATTTTTCCCCCAAGCATTTCTTTTGGATCAAAACTTTCATGGAACGTTACACAATTGCTCTGGCTTCCTTTCCTTCACCTTCCTAATGCTGTATAAGCCTCATAAAATTAAGGTTCGGTTCGTTTCTTGCCGTCTTTTTTCTTCCTGAGATAGCGTGGGCTACAGGCTGAACCCCAAGAAAGAGCTGAAGCAAATGAACCGGCTCACCCAGACCATGTGACTATCGCTATTTGTTTGTTGTCTGCATTAATCAGCCGTTTAACCTCTGGAGTTTAACTAATGATTCAGCTAACAATCTATACGAGAGAGTATGGTGGATTACTCGGAACCTGGGCAGCTAACAAGGCTCCAAGAAACAAATTTTGCTCTCTCGTCAGCCTTCTAATAAGGCAACAAGAAAATAGTTTTGGAGGAAACATTTTCAGGAAAAGGAATGAATTTTACAACTGATTGAACACTTCACCCAATGATCAATTAAGAGTGGAGATCAATTTATCCAGCTATAGACCTCTTCCAGACTGTTTCCTTGACCCTGCAAATACTTTCCATGACCAATCGCGCTATTTTCCCTCCCTCATTGGCAGATCCCTAAACTGAGTTTTAATCTTCATGTTCAGAGCATCCTCCTGGGAACAATTGACCCTCCTGCACCAAAAGCAGCCACCTTATACCCCGCAAACCAAGCGCGAGTGGAGCGAAAAGTTCAATAAAACATGAAACCTTCCCTTGAGATTAGCCTTTCCCAACCTGCAGCTTCCAGTTGCCGCACTTCAATTCCCATCAGGCCCAGTCATCATGATTAATGGCTATGAATGCTGGGAGTTATAGCCCGAATCGAAGGGAGGGCTCCAGGTCAAGAAGGAGTTCCACGGCCTCTGGGTGGGTTCAGCAACACTCTCTCTGTGCGGTGTGATGGTTTCTCTCATGCAAGCAAAGAAACTAAGCAATGTGGCAGTTTTTTGATAGCATAAGGAGGGTTAACTTGTCCCTGATTTCCACATTCCCAGGTGCTGGCATTCTATTCCGCAGTGGGGCAGCCGCCTTTCCTTTTCCTGAATATGGTGTGCTCCACTTCCCTTGGTGATCTCCTCCTCCTTAAAAAGCAGGGGAGAATCCACTTGGCTCCCGGCTTTCCGACACACCCATGGATTACCGTGGGCACAGCAGATTTTTGCCTGCATGGGGGAAACGTTCATCCTCCTCGTTCCCAATGCAAACTCTGGCCCCGGCCTCGAGAAATGCACGACCCGGGGCTTGGACGCCGTTGTCGGGCCAGTCCGGCAACCTGTTCTTACCCAGATGCATTTCCACTTCTATCACCCGCTACCACAAAGCTCGCCCCTTGACCGAAGTTGATGAGAGTTGTTTTGAGAGAGCTTTGCTGCCGATGATAAATTTATGCCCTGGAAGGTGAATGCCAGAAACACTGTCATAAATGTAACTCCATTAATGGTCCTTTCATTACAACACATTTGGCTCGGCAGGAAACATTAATGAAGAGAGATTTGCAGGGCGGACTGACACCTTCGGCACGCCATGGCATTTTTTACGCGGCGAGATTTATGCTGTCGAGAGCACCACATGTGCTCCGACCGGTTAATTACAAGCCTGGCAGTTTGCATGCGTTGCACGCCATATGTTCTGGTCCTGTTTTCTCGTAAGAGCATTTTGGGGGCGGTGGTCCTCTCTGGGAGACCCGCAGACTCATCAGCCATGCATCCTCACCTTTTCCTAGCTCCTGATGGTTCTCAGCCTGGCACCTGGGCACTTCCGGGGCCTGTGACGATTTAGGAGAGCCCTGCCAATTGTCAAGCCGGGCCTGCTCCCCTTGAAAGGTGTACCTGTGGATGTGATAAAATGTTTACCTGGGCAGTTCGTTGCTTCTCCTCCTCCTCCTCGTCTTGACACTAGTCGTTGGCTGCATTTCTCACATGCTCTTCGCTTTTCTTCCTTGGCAAGTCTTGACGAAATCGGACCTGAAATGCAACTGGTGGCCTCTCCTGGGACGCGCGGGCTGAACCGCGGCCCGGGACTGCAGCGCCTCTCCCTCGGCACGAGCCCCAAACGGCACCTGTTTGCTCCGTTGTTTTTCCCACTCTTCCGAAGTTGTGAGAGTTGGGCCGTTGCGTTCGTGTTCGTGCATTTCGGCACAGAGCGTACTTGTGACACCTGCTAGCACAGCAGGTGTTATATCTTGTCGCAACTTGTCCAAATCGCTTCAGCAGGATGGCCCTGTGGCAAAGGGTTCGGGAAATTATTTTCTTATCTGCAGGGCTTCTGGTTTGGTCCCAGGGCGACGGACGTGGCCTCTTGGAGCTGCGAAAGCCGTGATGATGGTTTTAACCCCGTGGCTTCCAGATCCACTTTCGTAACGATTTTCTGTCCATGAATGAAGCTCTGGATGAGAAGTGCTTCTGGTGACATTTGCTTTCCTCGGAGGGAAGAGGAAGGCTTTGAGCTACTTTGAATGGCCTCCTCTCCTCCCTGGTCCCTGGACTTTTTACCCCTGCCATGTTGCACCCTCTCCTCTGCGCAACGTGCAGAGGGCTTCATCCTTTTGTCCTGCATCTCTCCAAGCACAGGAGCCTTCCTGCCATTCTGCAGTGGCAAAAATCACAGACACAAAGGCATGTTAGTGCGTGTCTGGGGCACTTTGCTTAAGCTCATGCTCAGTCTTGCTTTCAGCTGTGTTCAGAACAAGCTACTGCTCTCCTGGCTGGTCAAATTCCTCACCTTCACGGGCAAAGTCTGCGGACGGTTGCTCTCCGTCCACGTTTCTGTTTTGGACACCTCACCTCCGGAATTCTCGGAGAAGAGCAAGTCAGGGTCTGTTTTCAGTGCTGGCGCTTTGCATTGTCTCTCCTGGTAGACTTATCTGTCCAGTCGGACGTCTTCTCACAAGGGTGGCTTGCCCAGATTCGCGAGCTTGGCTTCTCTGGGCGCATCGCTTTGCAGTTGTACCAGGAAGGGACATCTGCTTGTCTGCTTTCAGTGTTGCATGCAGCCCTTCTGGTTGAGCCTACCTCACAGGGCTGTGGGTGTGAGGAGGAGATTGAGAGGAGGGGGAGAAATATGCAACACCCCCCCCCCGCCCCCTGCAGCTCCTGGGAAGGAAAAGTGGTGGGATATAAAGATAAGAATTTTCCTTTAAAAAATTAACTGCCTTTCGATCCTTTGCTTCCCACCCCTCCCTTTCTTTCCCTTTCTGTCCTTCCTTCCTGCATCTTAATTTTAGTGCGATGTACGCAGCAGTGAAGCAGTATATTGTGCCATTATTTTTGTTGGTAGCATTCATACTTCTCTGTGCATTGCACGATACGTTTGCCCCCATAATGTAGCCAGGGAAACTGAGGTTGTCGGTTGTCTCAGTGTGAGCGCTGGTGTGTGGGTGTCTCGAAAGCGCCTGGGAAATGCCTCCGGGAGAGCAAGTCAGCGGGAAAGATGAGAGGGCAGGTGTGTTGAGAGACTTAGACTGACTGAAGTTGTGCCATAAAGAAAATGTAATTAAAATGACTGTAATGGACTACCGTGCTCCAGACAGCAAGGTGGAGCTCTCTGTTTTGGATCTGCTTAGCAGCCTCAAGTAGAAAATCCTCTTAAAAACTGGAGAGGCAGTGTGGTGTAGTGGTTAAGAGCATGGGACTGGGTTCGAGTCCCCACTCAGCCATGGAGCCAACTGGGTGACTT